TTTTTTTTTCTTTCTGTGGCACTGGGGACTGCACCCAAGGCCTTTCCACTGAGCTGCATCTCCATCCTTTTCAATTATTTTACTTTGAGACTCGCTGTGCTCCCCAGACTGAGCTTGAACTTGTGATCTTCCTGCGTCACCCTCCCAGCGTGCTGGGATTACATGTGCTAAGTCTTTATAATGCTCTCTCACTTAATTCTTTTCAAATCTAGGGACAGTGGGTGCCATTATCATTTCTTTGTAGAGATAAACAAAATTGTGGCCTAGGGAAATGAAAGTGACGTGGCCAAGATTACACAGATAGCAAGTAGCAGAGGCAGGACTGGAGCGTGGGCTGTTTTCGTGTTCTGTGGTCTGGCTGCTGGGAGCAGGGCTGAACTTGGGCATCAGAGGCCAGCTCCGTGGGGATGAGAGAAGAGCTTGGCCAGAATTGCTGGACTGTGACTACAGGATCAGCCACCGCCTCTTGCTTGGTATGGGGAGTGACCATCTCTCCCCCACCCCCCAACACCCTGTCACAGGTGATTGAGCAGCATCCTGATGGCCGCTGGAAGGGCCATATCCACGAGAGCCAAAGGGGCACGGACCGCGTGGGCTACTTCCCCCCGGGCATCGTTGAGGTGGTCAGCAAGCGAGCGGGCATCCCCATGCCCCGTCTCCCCCCTATGCCTACCCCACTGCGCCCAGGCTTCTCCCGGATGCCACAGCCCCCTGCTGATGAGTCATTGCACCCTCTTACCTACGGTCAGCTCCCTCGGGTGGGCCTCAGCCCAGACAGCCCAGGTACATCCTTCCAGACACTGGTGTGGGCGTCTGGCTTTACAAGTTGCCAATCAGCTGTTAGCAGCGCCAACTGGGGCTCTGACCCTGTCCTTCTGCCCCTTGCAGCAGGTGACAGGAATAGCGTGGGCAGTGAGGGCAGTGTGGGCAGCATCCGTAGTGCTGGCAGCGGGCAGAGTTCTGAGGGCACCAACGGTCATGGCACCGGACTCCTTATTGAGAATGCCCAGGTAGGAGGGAGGGCCCTGGGACCAGGGCAGGGTCCACCTCTGCTGCCAGTTCCCCATACGCTGAGGGGCTTCTTCCCTCTCTCTAGCCCCTGCCTTCTGCCGGGGAGGACCAGGTATTGCCAGGACTACACAGCCCATCCCTGGCAGGTAGGATGGGTAGATGGGACTAGGGTTGCAGAAGGTACAGGTGGGCGAGGAGCAGGTGGACTGGGCACTTCTTCCAGCCACCTCCGATGCCATTCCTTACCTCCTGTAGACAACCTGAGCCACCGCCCACTGGCCAGCTACCACTCTGGGGAGATCTTCACCCAGGAGGTGAGGCCGGAACAGCTGCTAGAGGGGAAGGTGAGACCTTCACTCCGCTGGGAGGTGCACTGTGGGCCTGGGGACGGAGTGTGCTGCAGGCCTGGTGGGTAGAGGGGGCCATAGTACAGACATAAAGTCCCTCCTAGGCCAGGCTCCTGCTGATTTCATCTCCCCAACCCCCACAGGATGCGCAGGCCATTCATAACTGGCTAAGCGAGTTCCAACTGGAGGGCTACACTGCCCACTTTCTGCAGGCTGGCTACGACGTCCCAACCATCAGTCGCATGACGCCTGAGGTAGGTGCTGCAGCTGGGAAAGGGAGGGCTCAGCAGGCAGAGGAGCAGCCTGATGCCCACGCCCTGTGTGGCAGGATCTGACAGCCATCGGGGTGACCAAGCCTGGGCACAGGAAGAAGATTGCCTCAGAGATCGCTCAGCTCAGCATCGCCGAGTGGCTGCCCAGCTACATCCCGGTGAGCAGGCAGCCAGAGCAGGGGGCTCTGGCTTGCACTGGGGCTGTGGCTCTGTGCTGCCCCTTCCTCTCTGGCTTGGGGGAAGCCAGGTCTGATGACACCCCTCTTCCAGACGGACTTGCTGGAGTGGTTGTGTGCATTGGGGCTGCCGCAGTACCACAAGCAGCTCGTGAGCAGTGGCTATGACTCCATGGGGCTTGTGGCCGATCTCACCTGGGAGGAGCTACAGGAGATCGGTGTCAACAAGCTAGGTGAGGACTGCTCTGGGCCTCCCCATTGGACGCCCCCTTGCCTCTAGAGTCCGGGGTGACTCTTCCCAGATCTGGCTAAACAGGCTGCTCTGTCCACCCCCCTTAGGACATCAGAAGAAGCTTATGCTGGGTGTGAAGCGGCTGGCAGAGCTTCGGCGGGGCCTGCTGCAGGGGGAGGCCCTAGGTGAAGGCGGGCACCGGCTGGCCAGGGGTCCGGAACTCATGGCCATCGAGGGACTGGAGAACGGAGAGGGTCTGGCTATGCCCGGCCCACGCCTTCTCACCTTTCAGGGCAGTGAGCTGAGCCCAGAGCTCCAAGCAGCCATGGCAGGGAGTGGCCCTGAGCCACTCCCCCTTCCCCCTGCCCGATCCCCCAGCCAGGAAAGCATCGGAGCACGTTCACGGGGGTCCGGTCACTCACAGGAACAGCCTGCCCCCCAGCCTAGTGGTGGAGACCCCACCACCCCACAGGAGAGGAACCTTCCAGAGGGCACAGAGCGGCCCCCTAATCTTTGCTCCCCACTTCCTGGTCAAGGACCTGCCCCTTATGTTTTTATGTACCCCCAGGCCTCGCCCTCCAGCCCAGCTCCAGGGCCACCTCCTGGTGCAACCCGGGCCTTCTCCTACTTGGCCAGCTCCCCAGCCACTCCTCCAGACCCACCTCGGCCCAAGCGCCGGTCTCATAGTCTGAGCCGTCCTGGCCCTACTGAGGGGGAACCAGAGGGAGAGGTCGAAGGGCCAGTGGGCAGTGCTTTGGGCAGTTATGCTACCCTTACCCGGCGACCAGGACGCAGCACCCTTGCCCGGACCAGTCCTAACCCAATCCCAACTCGAGGGGCTCCCCGAAGCCAGTCCTTTGCTCTCCGGGCCCGTCGCAAGGGCCCTCCACCTCCACCCCCCAAGCGCCTCAGCTCTGTCTCTGGCCCGACGGAGCCACCTCCACTAGACAGGAGCCCAGGGCCCAAGGAGGCATCCACAGGGCTCCGAAGGCGCACACTGAGTGAACCTGCTGGCCCTTCTGAAGCCCCTAGCCTGCCCATCCCAGCTGGCCCTGCTTCAGACACAGAAGAAGAGGAGCCTGGCTCTGAGGGGACACCTCCTTCTCGGGGCAGCTCAGGGGAAGGGCTGCCATTCGCAGAGGAGGGGAACCTGACTATCAAGCAGAGGCCAAAGCCAGCTGGCCCCCCGCTCCGGGAAACACCTGTGCCTCCCGGCCTTGATTTCAACCTCACAGAGTCAGACACTGTCAAGCGGAGGCCCAAATGCAAGGAGAGAGAGCCACTTCAGACGGCCCTCCTGGCCTTTGGGGTGGCAAGTGCCACCCCTAGTCCCTCTGCCCCCCTGACCACCCAGGCCCCCAGTAAGTCCCCCTCAGCTTCCTCCAGCCGTCCACAGCCTGAGCCCAGCAGCCTGCCAACTCAAGGAGCTCCAGCCACTGCTCCCAGCCCGGGAACACAGACCTCTGGGCCCCCAGCATCCTGCCCTACGCTGGGTCTAGAGAACTCAGCCAGCAGTCGGCAGAATGCAGAGACAGAACCCCAGGCTTTTCCTGCTGCCCTCCTCAAGGTGCCTGGAGCAGGTAGGAAGCCAAGGGCTGTGCGAGGGGAGTGCACAAGGTCACGTCCAGCCAGCTGAGCTACAAACCAACCCTTTTGTCTCTTCAGGAACAGCCCCCAAGCCTGTGTCTGTGGCTTGCACCCAGCTGGCATTTTCCGGGCCAAAGCTGGCTCCCCGGCTCAGCCCCCGTCCTGTCCCCCCACCAAGGCCTGACAACACTGGGGCTGCAGGTGCAGGCCGGGCCCAGCAGAGACTGGAGCAGACCAGCTCATCCTTGGCAGCTGCACTGAGAGCCGCAGAGAAGAGCATTGGCGCTGAAGAGCGAGATGGGTGAGGCTGATGGGTGCTGCGTGTGGAGAAAGAGAAAGCTGGGTATAGAACAGCTCCTACCATGGGTCCCTGGGACATTTCAGGGAGAGCCTCAGGCGAGGCAAGATCTCAGGTTTTAGAGTTGCCCACACCTGAGGCAGGTGAGCGTGGGCAAGTCCCTTATCCCCAGATCTCAGTGTGCTCCCCTGTAAGAAAGGGACGGCGCCTGCTGCCCGGGAGGTGGTGAGCATTGAGGATGCACACTAAGTGCGTGGCACCAAGCAGGAACCCGTAGCAGCTCCTTCCTCAGGGCCAGTGGGCTGCAGGACATTGGCCCATCTGATCAGGCCCTTCCTGTTGCCATAGCACCCCCGGGACCTCCACCAAGCACATTCTGGATGACATCAGCACCATGTTCGACGCTCTGGCTGACCAGCTGGATGCCATGCTGGATTGAGCGAGACCCACCTATGGCCCCTGGTGGTGCCACTGTGACCTGCAGTGACCACTGCCTTTGACCCACTGCAGAAGAGGCCCCTGCTACCCTCAGCACACAGTGGGCTGGTCTAGCTGGGACATACACCCCAACCCCACAGCACCACTGGGCCAGCCCAGAGGCAGGGCCAAGGCAACTTGTCAGACCTGATGAGCACAAGGGCCTCTGCTCTATCTCAGCCGGCCCTCACTCATGTGTAACTCACTGGGCAGGCCTGACCCCTGGCCAGGTACCTTCCTTAAAGCTTTCTCAAGGAGAGAAAGTGGCGGCAGGGCTTCTGGGGTGCTTTCTCTGTACCCTTGACCCTGTGTCCAAGTCCCTGAGCCGAGGAAATGCCGCTGGCTACCCCAGGCTACCCTGGAACCCTGAGAGGCAGGAGGAGGAGGCAGGATGCACAGCTGGACCTCTCCTGCAGGTGTACATAGGACATGTAAATATGCAGCAGAGATGTGCCCTCGTGGGGGTCACAGCTGGACCTCTCCTGCAGGTGTACATAGGACATGTAAATATGCAGCAGAGATGTGCCCTCTTGGGTTGGCAGCGCCCTGGCCAGCTTCTGCCCCTGCTCCCACCATCCCTCACTGGGAGGCAGTGGGATTAACAGATCCTCAATGTCCAAACTTTTTCAATTGTAAATGTTATTTTTTAAGCAGAGAGAAATGCATATATTTTAAATGGAATTTATTGTATCCGTTAACTGCCTGAGAGGACATAGTGGAGGAGCCTTGGATTACTACAGTACCCCAACTATCCACCTTAGGGCCGGAGGCCTGACCTGTTTGGCCCAGGCCCAGGATATGTAACCATTAACCTCTTCCCCCAACTAACACCAATGAAAGTGTCATTCCACGCAATTTGGCTGTGTTTGGATCTGTACCACAGTCTCCTGAGCGGGACCCGGGGCACCCACTGATGGGGAAGGAGGAAGGCTAGGGCCTACCCTCCTCGCCTTCAGGAGTTCCCATTCAAGCCCCTAGGTAGAGGGTAAGGCCCCTTCATGGCTGCCTCATGCACCAGATACACATTTTTCTTAAGCAATTTACAAGTTTTAATATAAACCAATCTACATTCATTCCTAAAAGGCTCATTTCTGGTAAAAAATATACACCAATAAAAACTTCTCCCAGGAGAACGAGGGTAGGGTTACGGGTAACCTGGGCCACATCCCCCAAGACTGACTGGTGGCCTGCTGAGCCTGGCAAAGGAGTGGGGGGGCTTCTGTATCTTCAGACTCCCCCCACCCCCTACCCAAGGAGAGCAGGGCATCGGGGCCACACCCAGGCCCTTGCCCAGGAAGACGGGATGCAGAGCAGCGGTGGGATACAGCACCTCCCCAGCAGCAGCCATTGTTCTTCCGCAAAAGCTGAGGCCCTCGCCCTGACTTCTAGGCTGTGCATAGATGCCAGGCAGAGGGTGCTGGGTGAGGGGCTGAGGGCCACTCCGCCAAGTGCCTGAGATCATACATTCAAGAGTGCCCCTGGCAAGGCCAGAGAAGAGCCAGGATGGTCCTGTCTGGCTGAGGCCACAGCTCCTCAGCTTTTCCACAGGGGGACGGTAGGGTCTCCAGTGACCACAGCTGAGCTCCCAGTGCCGTGGGGCACGGAGCAAACCCTGAAATGTTTGTGATAGCAACTTCCCAGGTGCAGGGATGGGTCTGGCTTCAGCCCCAGGGACTAGGGCAACTATGGCCACCATGGCCAATGGCTCAGAAGGGAGAGTTCATGCCCAGCTTGGTTTCAAACTGCAGCTTCTGTCGCTTCTGATAGCGGACACGGACCCTATGGGGCAGATTAAAATACAGGTTGGTGGACCAGGAATATAGCTTAGCACAGTGCCTACCTGCCAAATGCAAGGTCCTGAGTTCAATCCCCAGTACAAATATATAAATAAAACTTAAGGTTGGTGTAGACCCCAGACCAGAGGATGGGGCAGGACACTAGAGGTGAGGTTGGAGGAAGGGGCGCTAACAAAGGGGTAACCGGTTTAGGGAATACTCGGCTCCATAGCTCACCGAATCTCGTGCAACTTTACAATCTCATTGGTGACCACTACAAGGACCAGGGACAGGCAGCCCAGAAGCCACGTCACCAGAGGCACATCCTTCAGGCCAAAGTGGATGCGGCTGTCCCTGTGTGTCCACAGCTGCAGGTCCACGGCTGTCTGGACCACCTGACCCAGCAGCCTAAAGGAGGAGGAGCAGCCCCATGTGAACCCCAAGTCACCGTGCATCCTTCCCTGTTAACTCAGTAAGATGATCAGCTCAAGGAAGACCGTCACGCCTCTGGCCACATCCCACCCTCAGTCCTGATTGCAGAAGCCCCTCCTGTGCCCCAGGCCCCGCCACCCAGCGCCACTCACACCGCAGGCACCGTCACAGCCCACCAAATGTTCGTCAGGGGGCTCTTTCTCCACAGGGGTTTGGTGCGATGCACGTGGGTGATGGAGATGAAAACTGGAGAAAACAGGAATAAAGAGGGGCACCAGGCTTTCTTCCAGCCTGAGGCCTTGTCCCCACGCCCCAGCAGCCCCTCCTAGGCGAAACCCTCACCAGTGTGCAGGACAATCAGAGCGGCTGTGAGTTTCTGAGCCGACAGCAGCCCATTGGCAAAGTCCTCAAACCACGCCGGAGCCACGTCATCATCACTGCCAAAGCGAGACCAGGCCTCAGCCTCCCGCGGGGCCATGGGGAAGCAGGCTGGGGCAAGGGAGGGAGCCCCAGGGACCCACCTGCTCAGCATAATGGAGGAGCAGTTGGTGAGGTTGCGGGCCTGGGCACCGTCACAGAAGCTCTGCAGTGTGAAGCCGAAGCAGATGAGGCACGAGCTGATGGTGAGGCTGAACTTGAGCAAGAAGCAGAGCAGGAAGTAGTGCTGGGTCTGCGGGAGAAGAGAGACGGTCACTCCCGTGGAAGGTCCTGCAGGCTGGCACCCAGCTGGCCTCTTCACACTTGTAATAGGCTCCTGGGAAATGGCCAGGCCTGGCGGGGTGAGAGGCAGGGCCCCTGCTCCCCGCAAGGCTCTCTCTCAGCAATGACTACCTCCTTCTCTGGCCAGGTGCTGGCTCTCCAGATCTCCCGATCTCCGCAGCCTTCCGGGTCAGACCTCTGCGGGGCACCTTACATTCAGGTCCCTCCACAACTGCCTGCATTCCTCTGCGAGAGGCCCCAGCCTTGGGGTCTGTCTCACTTACCTTCTTAGGAATGGACTGAAGATTTTTCCCTGTTGCCATGGACATGATAGAGCTATGGGGTGGTTTGCCCAGCAGAGAGATGCTGCAAAGCAAGTGTAGGTAAAGGGGTGGTAACTGTCACCTCTGTCCCTCAACTCTCAGAGGAACCCTTCAGGGAGTCTTAGGTCAAGTCTGGAAAGGAGAAAGACAACAAAGGGGTCTCCCCCAAAGCCTCCCGCAGCAGAGCAGGGAAGCCCTGAGCTGCCCCCCAGTACCCTGGCTTTTGAGGACACACAGTGACGTCCCAGCCCCACCTGCCTGGGCATGGCCTCTCACCTCAGCAGAGGGTAGCAAAAGCAGGACAGCCACAGGATGTCTGTGGTACTCAGGAGTGGTGGGAGCTGGACCAAGCAAGAAAGGAACTGGACAGAGAAAGAACACAGGAACCACAATTAGATCCTGGTATGTTAAGAAGACCCCTGGGGGCCCCAAGGGCTGCCTGGCCTTTTCCTAGATGGATACTCAAGCCCTTGCTTAGAGGATCTGGAGTCATGGAGCACACTGCTGTCAGTGACACCTTCAGAACCCCATGGGTTTCACAGAGGCTCCGGGACTCTGGCTGTGTTGCACCCCGGCCTCCCTCAGATTCTCAACTGGTCCTTGGACAAAGGACTGGGTGGGGAGAGGGCAATTCCTGTGCTGTCCCTAGCTCACCTGGATGACCACGAGAGTCAGCTGGCACTGCAGCAGGAAGAGGAAGCACTTACGGATGCCATAGGTAGCATGTCGAGCCTAGGACCAAGAGGGACAGGTTATGGCCATGGGCTGCCTGATCTCTCTCAGGCCCTACAGCTGACAAGCTTCAGCCAAGACCAGGCGCCCCGAATGGTCTGTGAGGAAGGAGCACAGACAAATTCAACTGCCTGGGGAGCTTCACTTGCTTGGGAGAGTAAGTATGAGGTTCAGAGGGCCCAGGGGGATCCTGTGTTGCAACTCCACCCCCAAGACAGCCCCGTGCCCATCCCCCACCACCTGTCTGGCCCCCTCACCTGCTCTATGAGCCGGATGATGCTGATGGTCTCCTCCTGGCGAAAGGTCAGGGAGCAGGGAAGGCTGTTCAGCTGCCCTGACAGCTGCAGGGGAGAAAGGCCATCTGTGGCCTGGACCATGCTGGTGCTGGTGGCATAGCCAAAAGTCTCCCAGGAGCAGCGGGATGGATACAGGGGATCCAGGGCAATGCTGCTCAATATACGAAAAGCCCACATGTGAGCCGTATTCTGTGAAGACCCCACCCAACCTCCCACCAGATCAAGCATCCCATCCCTCTTCTCCCACCACACTCAGGTACCAGGGTCCCAGCCAGGGAAGATCGACCACAGGGTATGCCCTCAGCCCCACACAGGCCCATCCTGGACAGGAGAGGCAGAGACGGGCTGATCTGCCCGCCCTAGGGTCTTTCCCTGACCTGACGTCACTCTGGAGGAAGAGACAGCTGTTCCTCAGGTTGGCAGAGCTGCCCAGGCAGCAGGTCACCTCCCCGTACTCCTGCATGATCTTTATCATCTCACACATGGCTGGGGGCAAGCGGGAAGCACAAGAGTCAGGCAGGCGGAGCCCGCTCTGGACGCTGGCAAAGACCCATGGGCCAGGAAGGCAGGAAGCAACAGGAAGCGGGCTCCTCTTTGGAACAGTCCCACCCAGCAGCGTGATCATGTCAGCGCTGTCACTCTGACTCTCTGGAACTGGCACACCCATGTGCTGGCCCATTAGCTTTCTCAGCCAGACCCAACTCAGGTTCTTCCACTCCCTTCATGGGAAACCCACATCCCCTCTGGAGCCCACAGGGTGCCCAGCCCTGGCAGAGCTCAGCAAGAGAACCACAGCACTCACTCTCGGGGGTACAGTCGGTGAAGAGGGGCACGAGCAGGGGCACATTGTCAATGTTCTGCAGGTGGGGCCGCACCTGATGGATGCCCCGGGGCAGTTTGGCCTGCAAGAAGCAGAGAGGCCAGTGGCCTTAGGATGGGAGCAGGATGCCTGTGCTTCACCTGCCTGCCTGTCCCCCTGCCCCTCTCCCTCCTGGACCAGCGGTGGGGCCTCTTCAGGGCGTGTAGGGTACAGACTCTACCATCGTACCCGGTTGCAGTCCTCCAGGAAGCTGGGGATGTCGCTATCTGTAGGCTGGAAGCTGATGAGGTCTGAGTGACCCTCCTCCTCCATGAGGAGCATTCCTTCCGCATCATCTCGGGACCCTGTGGGAATGAAAGCCGGTCCCTCATCCCGGGGCCAGCCTTCTGGGGGGGCCTTTCCTTGCCTGTCTTGCCTATAGGTCTGTACTCTTCCCCTGTCCACTGCTGTTACCCAAAGGGGCATCACGACCACTTTCCAGAGGGTGCGCATATTGGGAGGGATCTTCGGAGGCCCTTCCTAGCTGTGGCTCCCAGAAGGGGAAACCTCCCAGCCCACGCCACCCCTGCCTCACACCTCTGCCCTCACCCTGATTCAGGTCATCATGCAGGGAGCCTGCATGGCTGGGGCTAGAAGGGGGGATCTCAGAGCCAGGCATGTCCCCATTGGGTATGAGGGAGATGTGGCAGTTCCAGCCAGTTTCCAGGCCCATCTTTTCTGCAAAAACCTGTAAAAGGCAGACAGCAGTGGGCCCAAAAGCCCTTGGGGAAAAGGGTCACAAGTGGGACAGGAGGAGGGCCCTCCCTACCTTGCTTTTGAGCTCATCCTCCAAAGAGAAGTAGACAAAACGGATGCAGGCATTAACCAGCCCATCGATGAGGCGCACAATATCCAGCCGGGCCTGGTACTGGGAGGACACCATGCCCATGAAGATCTGGCCGCTGAGGGCCTGCATGCATTCCTCCTTCTCCAGCACCTCCCCGATCCCTTCTTCAGGCACAAGACAGAGCCGGCCACCGTGCCGCGGGATGCCAGGACATGGGCCCATCAGGACACCCAGGAACCAGCAGATTCCAGGAGGCAGTCCAGGGCCACACACACACAGATGCCACACCCGAATCAATGAGCACGCAGGCCCCAGGAACCACACACCACCAAGAGACACAAAAGAGCCAAGACACACAGGAGAAAAGACAATAAGAGGTAGTCATCAGTCAGGTGGCCATGCTGGGGAGCCAGGCAGAGCATGGCTCAGCTCCTGCCCAGCCCTGCTCCAGCCAGTTTCAGTGCATGGCCTCTGGGGTTCCTGAGACCCCTGAAGTATGTGTGTTTGGGGGTATGAAGGGTAGGTTCTGAGTCCCTTAGTTCCAGCAGGGCTCATGACCTAGGCTTTTCTCTGATTCTAATAAGACTAACACCCTCTAAATACATGCAGTTTTATAACTTTCCAAGAAAGTTTTTTTTTTTTTTTTTTTTTTTT